AGAATTATTTTGATATAACCAATTTTGACCATAATGAGAAGAGTATGTGCCTATCGTACGTAACATGTCAAAGTATATGATCTCGTATAATAAAAAGCCTTAAGTTTCTTTTGAAATAAGGTAATAAGCGTAATTTTACAACTAAAAAGACCACCTTATCAGATCCACCCACTTTGGCTGGTTAAAAACATGTGCGCTCTGGTGCGCTCTCTCTCTTGTGCTCCTCTTCTTGTTTTTTTTTTTTTTTTTACTTTTGTTTCTTCTTTTTCGTATCTTAGGCTCTTTCGTATTTACGTTTTAGTTATGCTTTTATACTCTCATGATCAAAGTTATTTTAAACTTTTAAGTTTTGCTTATCTAGTTTTCTTTTATCTCCAGTGTTTTCAACATTTTTATGCACGTTAATAATAACTTTTAGAACAATATCGAACGGCCAACGATATTGTTTTCACCATTATTGTAAGTGAGTAATTATAACAAAGTAGACAAGTGCCCTTTTTGACCTGCCTCTTCAACCAAAGATTCATCAAACCCAGCGGCTGCCAGCCACTTGCCACAGTGGTTCTTGTGCCAAACTCAAAGGCTTTTTGCGGCGTAAGGGAGCCAACGTTGGGGCACCCACAGGACATCAGAGGCTCAACCACTCCCCCCTCCAAAGTGCGCCAGCCGGTGTCATTCTGCTGGAAAGTCTGGGAGTTGCAAAGTTAAAGTCCGGGGCTCCAGGAGAAACGTCTGCATGATTCACTGCTAAGAAGGGAGGCAATGAACACCCCTCACAGGTGACCCGCTGGGCAGTGGTAAGAGCTGATGTCAAATAGGAGATTTAATTATCTTAACCTTAATTTAGGATTCCTTAGATAAATATTTTGCGCATCCTTCCGTTCCCAATTAAATAAAAAAAATTAAATTAAATAACTCACACGAGTGTTACTTCTTGTTTAATCCATTGTACATACTGTTGATTTTGTGTTATTTCATATTATCCTCATTCATTTATTCAGTTGTTACCCATTTAGCTTAAATAAATTTTCATTTATCGCCAAGTCGTTGTCTGTGGATATTTCTTTTGAGCAGGAATTAAGATCACTGTATGAAGAATTCATAACCCAGATACTGAGATTGATTCATTATTGATAAGTGTACTGACGAATTAATAATTGATTTACGGAGCTATTAATTTGATTAGTCGCTTCCCTCACTAGGAGGGTGGTGCCCCAAACTTTATGACGAGTGCAAACATTCTAGAAAAGGTATTTCCCCTGCATTACCAAAGTAGTTTTTTAGTTTTTCAATATTGGTGTGCATGTGTGAGTGTATGTTTCTGTTTGTCTGCAGCAAAACTTGCAAACTACCAGACCAATCAGCCTAATACTTTGTGTGAACACTTATGACTGTATGCACAAGGACCTCTCGTGGTTGCGGTAATTCGTAATTAGTAAAAAACTTGTTTCATTAACTGTTTTATACTATCATTGACTGGTGATTCACCACTTTTGTCAGTGGTTTAGTGGACAGTATATGTATGTATACGGACTATGCCAACCTTTTTTTCTGGCCTTTTACAGTATACACACCTTTCAGCCAAAAAGCCATTGGAATATATAGGGCAGTGTTCCCACTTCCTCTTCAGTAACCTACCCATGTAACTAGGAGTGCACCTACCTCATCAACTATCACTACATCACATCCTCCTCTTAACCAGCTAGTAGGGGCTGAAAGATTCCCAGGAATCAGCTCGCTTAAAAACAACAAGCCTTGCTGAGTATGTTGCAGGACACATTCTGGCCTTTTTGGGCTCAAAAACTGACATCCATCGAAAAATTTGGTCTTATTTTAACCTGGAGTGGTAATGACTTTGGTTAGAACACAATTGCAGCATCTAAGGCAGGCAAGACAGTTTGTAATGACCATCAATATACTGCTTGTTGATCACAGGATGAGCAGGCAGGTAAATCAACAGTGAAGGTCAGTTCCTTGGTTCCCTCCAAGATATAGGTTCCATCCAATACTTTTGCATAGCACACTGGAGCAGAGAGCTGGTGAGTCAGTGGCATCTGCTGAATGCACACAAACAGCAAACAGTTCAAAAGTGTGCAGTGGTACCATCAGGGAGCATACAGGAGGCAATGTCAGAGTTTATCCTGGGCTCTGGATAAGGTGACTGGAGGTGAATAGGCACAATGATTTTGCCCAACAGGACAGCTGACAGGGGCAGAGAGCAGAATAGATTTAAAGTTTGGAAGCAGCAACATGAATGGCCGATGGAGACTTTGGCAAAGTTTGACTGGCCAACTGGGAACTCCCATGATCAGCTGATTGGTAGAAGTGGTGAAGTTGGGATAGAGGGAAAATTGTGAGTCTTCCTGACTGAACTTAAACTGAGCTTCATTTTGATGATTTGTATATTCTTAGTCTTTTCTCTCTCCCTTTTTTAAGGGAGAGAACACTTGTTCACAGACAACTGGGAGAATACTCAAAACTTTCAGGCCAAGCCAAATGACATACCTCTGATATCATACCCCAAAGCAGGTTAGTCCACAAACACAGACAGGATTTGCTTTGCTTTATACTGTAGCTTTGGAATAAACATGTGTATGAGGGTAAGATGTTTGGATTATCATATTTTATTGTCCTGAATTCTTGATATATGCTTGTTTGGAAAAGGTTGAGAGCTTGGCCTGTGATGTTACTGCCTTCTCAAGAAATGCTCATACAACACTGCGCTTCCCTGGGTCCTGACCAAAACATCTGGGCCCCATACAGCTATAGATTTATTATGAAATTCAGATTAGTAAAATATTTACTTATGTTATTATTGTAACTCCTTTACCACAAAGTAACTCAGAAAAGGTCCCCAAAGCACTTTAAAAAAAATTCAACTTAATGGTGTGACGCCCCTCCCAATGTCTTTGAGAATGTTTCAGCCAGTCTCATCAGGCAGCTGGCTGACATGGGAGGGTCGTTACCATGATTAGGCTCACCTGGGCTTCCAAGCTATAAAAGCTGCTTAATCTGTTCACTTGGTCTCTCCCTTCCTTTCAGCTGACATCCACTGAGCAGCTTTGGTTTTGGTTTGCACCTTCAACACCTCCACAGAACACCTGACACTCACCCATGCATGGCTTTCATGACTGACTTTGCTGATCTACACACTCCATTGATTATTAAGTTAATTTTAGTTTAATAAATTTGGATTGTTTTAAGTAAATCTTTTGTGTGGACTCCCTTCCTGTCACATACTCTGAGCCAGTTTGTGACAAATGGGGGCTCGTCCGGGATCTGTTAGTTTGTGATAAATGGGGGCTCGTCCGATCCGTTTAGTAAGGCTAAATCTTGCCTTAGTGTTACACATGATGCTTGATTTGTTATATATGCTCAATCTGGTTTGTGACTTGTAGTTTGTTAACACTTTTGAGTAGTACACTTTAAAGTGTTTTGGTATTAGCATGGTGATTGAGACTTTTGGGAGTATCACAAGGATTTTTGTGTGGTTCACTTTTGTGGATGCTGGAAGGGAGCAGCATTTGTTTCCCCCTTTCTTTGATTGCAAACCCATGTGTTTGGAAAATTGAAAAACACAAGTACTGGTGCATGTAACTGGTGAATACAGCCACATTAGTTTGAAGAGCCACGCACCTCTCTGTAGGCTGAAGTGGTTGATCTCAACAGGAGATCAACCAGTTTGTTGTTTTCACTCAGTGTGGCGGAGAATGTGGTTGAAGACATTGTCTTGGGAGCATTTCCCTGGTTTCCTGAGGGTCGCCAGTTTCTGGTTGCCTTTTGGGTTCCGGTGGAACCAGTGCATAAGTACCCACCACCAGTATCTGAGATTAATTAGCTGTGACCAGTTAGATAGAGCTGGGGAGCCTGAGCTCTGTGGTTATTTGATTTCACCATTGCACATGTTCCTGTGAACTTGTTTTGTGGGTTTGTAATCTTAAATTGTGGCCAGTGTTGCTGAATAAATGTCCTCTGTCTGGTACTGATGGTAAGTTGCACTATCAACTGTTTAAGCCGGGCATGCTGCTAGGCATGTGGTAGAATTTGGTTGGTAAGAAACAGTGGCAGTGAGTAAATGGTTGACTAAATTTGTTGTTTGTATCTGCAATTTGGTAGCTTGGCCTGCTCATTTTGGTGATGAGTACTACAGATCATGCTTTGTTTGGCTTTGCATGTGAACTTTGTTGTAGCTTGGTTCTCTTTGTGTGCGTCTTGGGACGACTTGGTTGGCTAGTGAGCCTTTTGTTTAGAGGAACCTTTGGGTATGCTACTTTGGTTTAGTACTTGTAATCCCAGTTCAGTGTGCTTTGAGAAGCTGTAATTCTGAATAGGCAGAGCGTCCTGACCTGTGCTTTGTCTGGTTGCAGGCCACCTTGTAAGAATGTGATGAGCTTTGGTGCTCATTCTGAGAGCAACATTTTGATGTGTACTCTGGGTTGTGGGTTTAACAATCTCCTGCTGACTTTACCTCACTGCTTTGTACCCACGTTACTGAATTCCTGCAAGATACAAATCTGCATTCTGAGGTGGGTATTGTTCCAAACGTTTTCCATAAGTCTTTGTAACTAGCCATTGGTTCTGTTGTGACCCTTTTCCCATGCAATAGCTTCTGATGCCAGTAAATTTCTCATTCTTAAATTGCTCCCCTGGATCCAAGGTTGCTGGGTGAGGGATTTGATCTGGTAAGAAATGGAGTTACATTAGGGTCAAAAGTTTTGTACTTGAAAAAATAAAATTTGAAACTGAAAATTCATGTGTTGATCTTGAATTTTGAAAAATATAACAATGTATTCAAAATAAAAATAAGTGTATTAAACGTTTTTTCAGGTTAAATATAATTTTGATTCACTTTGGTAATTCTTTTGAATAAATTATTTATTTTCACTTTTCACTTCCATATATATTTTGACATTTGAGGTCTTATTTTTTTCAGTTGCATGTTTTATCTTTTCAGATTCAGATCTTATTTTTTTCAGTTTCAAATCTTTTTTTCACTTTCAGATCTTTTTTTTTTTCAGTCTCAAATCTGTTTTTTGAGTTTCAGAATTTTGACCCTGATGTGGCGTGGGGGGCGTGGCATCAACTGAGCTGGGCGTGGAATCATGAGTGACAGCTGAACAAAAAGGCTTGGAACCTTCCCCAGTGACAGTGCCTTCAGGGAACGTAGGAACTAAAATAAATCTAACTCAACACTTATATACACCATATTCATGTGATTGGCAGTGTAAGAATTGATGCCAGTGACAAACTTCCATTTAAAAATCTGTTTTAGACAGTACTGAGCACCAATTGCGGTATAAGAGCGATAAATTATGCCAGATTTTGCAGTTCAACAGCCACATTTTAAGTGCTGATATGTCCGATTTCCACATAGCACTGTGAACGTAGCGTAGTGTCCGCTTGGCTTGCAAAGATGGCGTCCGGCCGGTCGGGTCAACCTGCTGGAGCCCATACATCCAACACACAGGTGAGACATGTTAACTAAGTTTTGGGAAATCATAACAAACATTAAGGGGTCGTTTTTGTGACAACATACATTTTTTCGTGACGTCTTTTAATTTGCGAATTTGTCAAAGCTGGAAAGTAAACATTGAGCTAACGTTAGCATTAAGTAGCTTAACTTTACAGCGTATTAGACACTAGCAGGCACTGCCTGAAAAACACAGACAAACCTATTAATTTGGATAAGGCTAGTGCTGTTTTGGCTACAGGAGTGCATGGGATGCCAAAAACACCCACAGTAGCCTGTGGTGGAAAGCTACAGTGTGAATGAGGCCTGATGCTATCAGCTAGTGTTTGTGATTTTACTCCTTAGCAGCAGTTTCCAACCTTGGGGTCAGGACCTCAAATGGGTTTGCCAGGAATTTCTAGTAATCAATCAATAATAATCTTTACAATGATAAAAACACAAATTGACTTGGGTATAGTCTGTTTTAACCAGTTATAACCCATTTTGTAGCTACCTAGCTCTTTTTTCATACTCATTGCTTAATTTCATTGTTTGTTCAGCATTAATTTGAAGCTTGTACAAGCTCACAAGGTTGTACATGTCCTGCAGTGGGAAAATAAAATCCTGCACTAACTTCATCCTGGTTATTCTGCCTCTATCCACAATAATATTCATAGCCTAGGCTCTAAATAAAAAACTATTACTTGATTGAAAAAACAAATTAATTTGAGCAAAAAAATGTCTGGTCATCTGAGTTTTAGCCAAAGAAGGTTGGGAACCACTGGGTTAGAGTGTCCAGCTCAAGTTTTTACCATTAATGTATATTGTCTTTGTTAAATTCTGTGTTTGCCAGAATGTCGACTATAATTCAACAGTTGCTGCAGCTGCACAGAGCCTTATAAGTGTGCTCAGACAGAACCTTTCTCAGGGACAGCAAGAGGAAAGAAGGAAGGAAGAAAGCAGGAGCAGGAATTGTCTTCTGTAGATCAGGATATGGCCAGGTTCTAGATGTCATGGAATTGTATTTTTCATGTTAATTTGAAGGCAATTTGACTAGTTAATGTTTTATATGTACATTTATGATCATGTTTTAAACAAATATATGATTTTTTTTTAATCATGCAGATCTTTCCCTGGATTTTTCACAAGGAAAAGTTACCTTGGAAAGCGAAAGATACCGAGTCAAAAGACCTGTGGCACAGCATCTAAAAAATTCTGGAGGCCTTTTAGTTTCTATGCATACCTGTTAAACATGAATGCAGAGACGACCCCAACCTCATCTGAGGAGATTGAACATGCCCAGGCAGGACTTGGAAAACGACATCTCACCATGTCCTGGGATATGAGCCATGAAGAGGTATTACACATAGAGAACATATTACTTAAAAATTGCACCTAAATGTCTATATTTGAAACATATCACTTTATCATAGTGTTGGGCTTTTCTACAAGCATGTAGACATCATCTAGTCCCTTTGTTACTGCTCTCTTAGTTCTTCAGCCTACTACAAAATGAGTATCCTAAGATGCAGGGACTGACAGGAGGATGGCTACTCTACAAGGCTACAGGTAAGATAAGATAGACTTTATTGTCCCGAAGGAAATTTGTCTTGGATACATGCAGTATCTGCTGTTAAAAGACACAAAGTTGACACATACAGTTCCTACATATATACAATCCACAAACAGAGCTGGTAGAGAAAACTTGTAAATATAACATCAATTGTAATACATTGCCATTCATATAACTTGCCCAAACAAACACAACTGAAATGATCCAAACAATGTTGCATTACAGGTGGTCAGGGTAGAAGGAGACTGATTATGATTCCTCCTGATTCTGATGGATACACTGGGACCCTTATTCGCACAGTTTCAGGGGCAGGAAAAAACACCCTGTATATTGTGCCTTTGCAACATGAGTTTGACCTAACACCGCTACCTCCAGATGCCATTGAATGCCAAAAGCACAATGCCAAATGTGCAAAGTGAGTTTTCCTTTGCCGATTTTGGCCCTTCATGTTCAGGAATGCATGGTGTCTCAGATAGACTCAGCATCAGAGGATGTTGAGGTAAGTATTGCTACAAAATATATGTGATGTTGCATTGTGCAAGTACAACTTATTTAAAATGTTGACTGTTGTTCTCTGAGTTATAACAGAATATTTGTGGGTCATTTGTAATATCTTAGACATGCCAAAGTGAGGTCCAGATTATTTCCATGACAGCCCCCTCTGTGCACTGTGACCCAGAGACATCCGTTGAAGAGGTACAGTACTTGATCTTATTGTACTTCCTTTTGAAATGCCTGCATTGACATTTTTTGTATGGGACAGTTGCTAATATTCAAACTTTTTTTTTCTCTCTATCAGAAACTTCCATGTCTTATCTGTTTCTTGAAATTCACACCACAGTTCCTAGAGATCCATGTTAGCATGTGTGGAGAAAGGTATTTGAGATGGTGGACATTTATGTCAATTTTAAATGTATATGTTACTTAAAGTACTTGGGGTTTTTTTCTATTAGTACCAATACTTGTCTCCCTTGTGCTTTTTTAGAAGAGAGGAAGATTGTAAGTTCGCTGAGACACCTGCCATGAGCCAGGACAATGGAGTGGAGCAGAACAAAAGGTAAATACTGTGTTGTGTAAAGATATAAATTTCTTCATCCTACAAGGATCTTCATTCTACAGAGCTTTTGTATTCAACATTAGTGGTAGGGGTGTAAAGCAGAAGTTTAATCACGATACGATATTATAGGGATGATACTAGTTCAGTTCAGGGGCCTGCAATCAATATAAGACGATATCTGATCCATTTAACACAATCAGTTATATTTACTGTTTGTCAACTTACAAAAAGCAACTAAAATATTATTTCACAATTTTGTTATTGAGCTCTTCTAGACATTTAAATGAAAAACAATCTATTCTTTTTAATAAAAAGAATACAGATAGACCATAGACTGTATATAAGAAGTGGGCGTAACAGCTGTGACGTCACCCATTGGTTTGTGGACTTGGTTTTGAAGCCAATAGTTCAGAGATTTGAAAACCACGCCCTGATGCGTACCCTGCTTTATCGTCAAATATCAAATCAGGCCAACATTTAAAAAATTAACATCATACTGTATTGAAGAAGGCTTTAAACTAGTGATTGACACAAACACATTTTGAAAACGTTTACTGAGGTTATATATCAAGCGAGAAGTAGGTGAATTCTCCATTGACTTGTATTGAAACAAAAGTCTTTTTGCAACCAGGATAGTCGCCCCCTGGTGGCCTTTAGATAGAATGCAGTTTTAAGTTACTTCTGCGTTGGCCTCATTTCAGAGGACGGGAACTCCCCGCCTGAGATAGACCTATAATACTCATTGCTCTTTTGGAGTTACAGTTCTGTTACTGCAGGAAAAAACTGGTCAATTTCAAAATAAAGGCATGTCTAGATGATGATGTGGATCGATGTTTTCACTTTGCAACGATGATATTGGATTGTACATACATTACATCCATTAATTATGTGTTTTATTTGGCAGTGTTGATGATGTATTGGGCATCATTTGTCAAAGAGTTGACACAGAGAAATCGTTCAACATCCAAATCTCAAGAACAAACATTCTGGAGAGAGGCATTCTGCAGTGGCAACGTCAAAAGAAAAATTCACCCACTGCTTCTCTGAAAGTGACCTTCTTTGGAGAGGCAGGAGTAGACACAAGTGCTCTCCGTAAGGAATTTCTCACAGGTAAAACAAAAACAAACATATTTGCATTAGAATGTTATAAAGCATGTGGAAAATCAGTCCACTGAAACATTTTTTAAATTTCAGCTTATTATGTATGTTATACTATGGTTAAAAGGGCAGCTAACCCAAAATTTGTGAAGAAATTTTACTCTTATCTGTATCCTACTTATTGAAGGATCTCTATTCTTGATTTGTGTGTTATGCTGTTGTGTGTTAGTTTTTCTGTAATATACATAGAAAAACTGAATATAACCCCATTAATTGAGAGTAGTGACAGTCTTCTCAACAGCCCAAATTAGACAACCCCTTCAAAAACTATGTGGATGGCTACATAGACATATTGTCAGACAATTTCTACATTCATATTTTGACATGATTCTACTGTGTATTATTTCATACATGGCATACATTTTCTACTCATTAGTCACCTCTCACTCTGAAAAGAAGGTCTCACACACACATTTATATTTTGGTTGAACTTCCAATTAAACTATTCTGGTCTAAAAAAAAATGACTAATACTTGACACAGAAGGCACATGAGCACCAGAGTAAATGCAGTTTGTACTTATGTGTACAGAAATGGTGGCAGGAATTGAGGGTCGTTTCTTTGAGGGACCACAGCATCAGAAGAGCCCACGATACTCTCTGACTGACTTAGACAGTGGCCTCTACAGGTGTGTTTATTTTTATGCAAGTAAGGACAAACTGTTCTTTTTGTTAAATGTTTTCTAACATAAGTAATCCATTAATGCTCAGTTTGTGTAAATAGGACTGTTGGAGAGATTTTGGCTGTTAGTTTGGCACAAGGTGGCCCAGCCCCTGCCTTTTTCAGCCCATGGACCTACAGTTACCTCTGTAGTGGGAAGATAAACCCAACAGTTCTCAACAGTGATGCAGTGGCTGATGTCCAGTTGCGAGGGTTAATTGAGCAGGTATGATCTCTATATGATGGAAATGCTGGGTTAATGAAAAAAGCATTCTTTGTCAAATGATATTTTCAGGTTTACTTGTAATATGGCACAGAGATGTTCTTCCTGGTAATTTATGTTTTTATTTTCAGGTTGAGTTGTCGACTGACCATTCAATTAAAGACCTAACTGATGAAATCTTAAGTTGCGGATATACTGGAGCTGTCACAGTTCAAAACAAGGAGTCCATTGTTCGGTATGCTAGGATACAAGGTATTTTTATATATGTATTTATAGGAAAATACAATGCACGAGTAATTTTTTAATTTCTACTGTTGTAGGGCCATAATACTCCATGCAGTGCTGAGGTTGCAGCCTATGTTGGAACAACTAATGGAAGGCCTGCAGCTGTATGACCTTCTTTTGCTCATCAGGCAGTACCCAGATATCTGCCAACCCCTGTTTGTTCCTGGAGAAGATGTCAAGGTGAGCAAAACAAGTGTGACCATTTATTATTATGAAGAAGATACACTAACTTGCTGTGAAATTTCATAGTAAAAGGGTGACTTAATTTACATCTTGATTTTGTCTCATCATAGGTCAATGCAGAGTTTGTCATGGCATCCATTCTCCCTCAACTGAGTGACAAAGGGACTACCAGGCATCAGGTTGAGCTGGAGATGATTAACTTTGTACAGGACTTCATTTATTAAGTTGAAGGTATATAGATTTTTATCTCCTGCAAATCTGAACTCAAAAACTGTCACATTTGAGTGTTTGGTGACAAAACATTGAAATTTGTGACCGCTTGTAGTCTTTAAAAAAATAGCCAGCTGCCACCTGTAGTTTTCACTGGTATTAAACAGGTTAAAGTTTTATTCTCCATGACAAATCCTGATGGTAATAGCTATTGTTTGCCAGGGCACTATGTTTTAAAATCAGAGGCCGGCTCATTTATTTTTTGAGCAAGGCCATAATCATAATAAGCATACATAAAGGTGA